GCCATATATTTCATGTCATAGCAGTCTTGGCTGATGACCCAGCACATGTTGTTCATATTAAGAACACTTTCACTGCGGATTTGACAAAACGCAAAGAAGGTACCAATGTGAGATTTCTAAAGATAGCTACAGCACTTGACCCAAGGTTTAAGAATCTGAAGTGCTATCCAAAATCTGAGAGGGACGAGGTGTGGAGCCATGTGTTCAGAAGTCTCGGAAGAGCAATGCTCTGATACGAAAACTACAGACCCCGAACCACCAAAAAAGAAAATCAACCTTCTGCTGGTGGCATCTGACTCAGATGATGAAAATGAACATGCATCGGTTGGCACTGCTTGGTATCGTTATCGAGCAGAACCCGTCATCAGCATGAATGCATGTCCTCTGGAATAGTGGTTGAAGCATGAAGGGACATATTAATCTTTAGCGCCTCTGGCACGTAAATATCCTGTGATGCCGGCTACAACAGTGCCATGTGAACACCTGTTCTCACTTTCAGGTGACATTGTAAATAAGAAGCGGGCAGCATTATCTCCTGCAGCTTTAAACAAACTTGTTTGTCTGAGTGATTGTCTGAATAAGAAGTAGAACTGAGTGGACTTGTGGGCTCTAAAGTTTTACATTGTTTTGTTTTTGAATGTAGCTACTTTGTTGTACATAATTCTAAATCTGTAAGTTCAACTTTCAAGATAAAGAGATTGCATTACAGTACTTGTATTAGGTGAATTGAAAAATACTACTATTTTTTACAGTGCAAATATTTGTCATCAAAAATAAATATAAAATGAGCACTGTATATTTTGTATTCTCTGTTGTAATTGAAATCAATATATTTGAAAATGTAGAAAACATCCAAAAATATTTAAATAAATGGTATTCTATTATTATTTAACAGTGTGATTAAAACTGCGATTAATTGCCGTTAATTGTTTTAGTTGCTTGACAGCCCTAATTTTTACATCTGCTGGAGACTCCCCACCTTCGTGGATATCCCCAGCAGCGTAGTTACAGGAAATTCCTGTTGCTTTTGTGCCTCAGGCCAGATTTGTCCTAACATCTTCTCCCTTTGTATCTTTCCCCATCTCTGTTAGTCTGGAGCTCCCAGTGATGGCTTTTTCTTTCTCTTTCCCCTCAGCTGCAATACTCAGTTTCTCTTCGTGCCCCTCCCCCCCATACCCCAACTTGCTTTGTGCACTGAAAGTGATCAGAAAGGAGGATCTTCAGAACTCTTGAGTCTTCAGTTCTTTCCCTCTGTATGTATTCCCCCTTTCCCAGGGCTGCAATACTGAAAAGGCAGGATTCTTAAAGGTCCATAGGCCACTTTCACTGCAGCTGCCTATCCTGAGTGGGTGGGGAGTGGTTGAGTGCACACATCCATCCATTGCTGCACAACTATTCAGCTACCTATGTTGTGTCTAGGTATTGTCGGGGCTTCCTCCTGTAGAGAGGCAGTTTCTCTGCTTAGCTGCTGCATCTGCCTGTGGCCAGTCTGCATTAACAGCTCAGGACAGGAGTAACAGAAGAACAAAGTACTGCGGGTTGTTAGCATTCATGCAGGCTGCTTCATGGGGGCTGCGGTTCTGGCACTCATGCTTGGCACAGCTGCACACATTGTATCCCTTACTTTATGGCGTATTACCTTAAACAGAGTACGGTACTTTCTTCCAGTATTTTGGTCATTCAGCTTCTGTCAAGGAAGCAGAGCTTTTTTCCCCTCAGATCTGATGATAGAAACCTCATGGAGTTACAAACACAGCTCTTGGGCCAGTTTCAAGATTACGAACCATGTGAACTTTATGAAGATTTTACACAACTCTAATAGGGAGAAAACTGGTTACCAAACGTATAAGAGAGAGAAATGTCAGAGTTTTGATGATACCTGCTAGTTCAGAAGTTTCTGATTCTGTGAGTATTGGATGCTTTGCATTATTAATTATCGATATAGAAGATAGCAGAATAGCAGAAAAAACCTTGGAAGGAATCAAATATTATAGAGAGCAATGTAGGAATTAGAATTGTGGGAATATCATGCAAGCAATTGTGGCAAGAGTTTGAGAGTGGCATAGAAAGAGCATGATCTTTTCTATCAGGGGAATAAGAGCTTTTTTCCCCCAGAACTCAACCGCTCAACCCACAATAGCAGGGAAGAATTAATTAAACCTTTGCTGTGGAAACCAGATTCTTGTAACTGACAAAAGCAAGAATTTGCTTCTTGTGAGAAGTTGCATTTATTTTGGAATTCAGACTCTACTGGGAATTTGTTTGGGAACGGAGAGGTAGGAATTGTGGCCAGCAACGATCTGTGTGGCTTGGATGATGAAAATTATGGGAAGTAAATTTAAATAATAATAATAAATAATAATTACAGGAGTTTTTCCACACAACTTCTGTAAGAATTTTTTGTTTTGGAACTCACTGAATTCAGGGAGAGTTATAAGATTTCCCCAAAATAGGAGGAAGAAATTGAAGCACATCTGTGGTTGTAGAGATACTTTAATATCATTGGTTTCAGAGTAGCAGCCGTGTTAGTCTGTATTCGAAAAAAGAAAAGGAGGACTTGTGGCACCTTAGAGACTAACCAATTTATTTGAGCATAAGCTTTCGTGAGCTACAGCTTATGCTCAAATAAATTGGTTAGTCTCTAAGGTGCCACAAGTACTCCTTTTCTTTTTAATATCATTGCAGTAGTTAATTATTGCAGTATAATTATTTTGCAAATTAACTCTGCACATGTTGTGTCTCTTCTTTTCTTCTCTCACCTTTGTGAACAGAGGATGGACTTCTTAAGAGAGAGTCAAAAGGATTGATTCTGAAAGATGTTGAGCACCTTTAGTTAATTTAATTCAAATGTGTCATTTCTAGCTTCTATTTACTTTCCTTAGTGGCTTCTGATACTTTTCTTTACTGGAATTTTGCATGTCATGGTGTAAATCCTCTCCACCACCTGTCCTATATCATGAGAATGAGCTAAAGGTCCAACACTGCTAGTTTAGCACCCACTTTTCTTCCCCCACTTTCCTACTGGCTATGAGACAACTTGAGAAGTTCATATAGTTTATACTTGGTCATCATTTTTAATTATATTTATTTTCTTGGCTTTATGTCTGCACAGCAGAGAACATGTCTCACAGCTGAATTTTATAACATTGTGCAGAGAAGGTAAGAATAAATGGTTCCCTGCAAAGAGTGCTTACAATCCAAGCAGATCAGATATGAAAATGAGTAGGAAATGGGAGATTGCGAGACGACTGAGTGGTGGCGTTTGGCATGTGTCGTCTTAGTTCCACAGTGTTTAAATTCTATTTCTCAGAGCTTATCTACACATGGCATTGTTGCTGATTAATTCCATGTGTACACTCACTTATTCCAGAACAAGAGTGCCTTGTTTCTGTTTAGTTTAACCCACTTTCAAAGTGGGCAGTCAAAGCATTCTTATTCTGGAATAAGCTTGGCATGTTTAGCTAGGAAAATGAAGGCTGAGAAGGGATAGGATTTCTCTCTATAAATACATTAAGGGGTAAACAGCAGGGAGGGAGAAGAGCAATTTAAGCTGAAGGATAATGTTGGTGGAAGAACAAATGGGTATAGGGTGGGTTTCCCTAACAGTAAAGAAGGACAAATAGGTATGAATAAACTTAGGCTGGAAATTAGACAATGGTTTCTAACAATCAGAAGAGTGAGATTCTGGAACAGCCTTTCAATCGCTCCAGAGTAGTGGGGGCAAACAACCTAATTAGCTTTAAGATGGAGCTTGATATATTTACGAATGGATTATATGACAGAGTTGCTTGTGCTAGCAGGGGACTGGACTTGATGACCTAGGAGGTCCCTTCCACTCCTAATGTCCTGTAAGAGTGTCCAGACATGGAGTTAATCAGGAACCATTAATCAAGAACAACTCTACATATAGACAAACCCTTATTGGCTCTGTGTTTCTCAGAGAAGGAAATAGAACTTGAAGACCTATTGGAAAGAATCAGGAGGAATTGGTGTGGTGTCCGCATGGTTTTCTAGGTCATTGTGTCACAAAGTAATGGATTTTTAACTCCACCCTAGAAAATAGGCAAGTGGGAATGGCCCTTGGGAGACAGGGATCTAAGGAGCTAGGAGGGAAGAAGTGGGGAAGGAAAGTCCTAAGAACAGGTAAGCTCAGGATGAAAATTTAGTGGGAGGTTTCTGTTGTGTTAATTGTTTTTGAGTTCCAAATAAAGCCAACTCTTAGAAAGGGTGTGAGTTTGGAAATGGAGTCTTTCTGCTCTATTGAGGACAGGGAGGGGCTCAGCCCATCTACATGGAAGAAGGTGGTACCATGCAAGAGTGGACAAAAGGTACTCTTCAAATAAAAGCAAACTGAACTAACTTTTAGAGTTACAGCAATTGCATATCATGCAGGGTTGTGCCTTCTGTGCAGCTTCATCCCACAAGTTCAATGGTTTATTTGATATTGCATATACTTTTTCTTAATATTTTAACAACTACATAGACCTATAGAATTTCCTTCTTGCTACAAACATTCTGAAGATTTTTTCCATCTATCATATGTTCATGTTGTTAGCTCTACTTGGGTTTTGGTTGCAATTCCTGTACTTATTTATTATAAATAAGGAACAGTGGAAAATGATGAGTTTTGTGTGTGTGTGTAACAAAAATATTAGCCTCTTTGGAATTGTTTCTGTGTAAAATGTCATGATATTCCTATTTCATGAGGTAATTTGGAAATTAATTAATATCCCCATAGCAACGCTTGACATATTTCATATTAAGTCAGGTAGAAATAAACCATATTTATTTCACCATGTCACATTATTTAAACATGTTTATAGTCAAAAGGTAAACTTCAGGGCTTATTTCATGAATCATCATGCCTTAATACTTTGGTTTTCACTGTCTTAGTTATATGAAAAATTAATGGTGTTTTGAAATGTTTTAAAATTACTTACTTAATAGCTTTTTTCACAGTGTTAACTTCATTGTAAAAATATATTTTCTGTGTTCCACAGTATTTTGGAAGTTTGCTTGTGATATTCTGTGTTGAACTGGCCTGCGGGGTTTGGACCTATGAGCAGGAAATTACGGTGAGTCAGAAAAGGAGGATACATTATTATAGAGAAGAAAACAAAGATTTTCATTAGCTAGCTATTCTCCAACTGCTGTAGTGTGCATCTTTGGTTATGGCTTTCTGTCAGTCTAGTATTAACTTCAGGCATTTTGGTTTGTGTTAATATAGGGAATTCTGGGAAACCAGTTCTTTCTAAAAGGATCCAGTCTGAAATTTTCTCAGGGTCAGATCTTTAGGTCCTGTTTCATTTATTGCTTAGACAAGTTCCCAGTGAAGTCAAGTGGGAGTTTTGACTCAATAAGGATTGCAGGCTTAGATTCTGTGTTTTGAGGGGATTTGGGAGGGGATCTTGCTGTGCTGTATTGTAAACAGACAGTGCATTCATTCCATAAATGACTTACTGCTTGCTGAGGTCGTTAGTAATGTCTCCTTAAACTATAAATGCCTGTGTTTTAACGTGAAACATGTCTCAGCTATAAAACTGATTTCTGTAAACTCCTCAGGAGGTTTTATCTCCAACTAGTATTTATAACTGCACCAGCCTTTAATTTTCAAACTGGAGACTTGAATCCATTATGAAGGGAAATGGCTAAGTACTGAACAGAAAACAAACTATCATGTTATTCTGCTTGCTCTTATATCTTCTTGTCTAGTTTTCAGTTTGATACCTATTTATGAACAGAGTGACAAATTTCCTCCAAGCTGCTGAGATATGCCCACGACAGTGGTCTTTTCAACAGCAGCCAGTGTGTAGCAATTATACTGCAGTAAAAAGGGAGGGAGCTCATTTGGTATTTGTACAGTACTAGAACCAAAGGAATTTCTGGCAGATCTGTACTCTGAAATTATGTGGCAGCATTTTGTATCAGAACTCATTCCCTTGCTATACAGATTCCAGAGCGATGTTTTATGCTCCTAATATAACATCATTTAAAGATATCACTTTGCTTAAATGTCAGGTTGCATTGATATGATACATTTTTTTAAATTGGGAAGGTAGATCATAGGTATGACTCATCCCCTGGTCACAGCCACCATCCTCAGGGGTTCTGCCAGGGGTGACAGTTATAACTAACATCCATGGCTCTATAGAAGTCTTATCAGTAGAAGCTGCCAAAAGGAGGCATTGAAATGGAGCATCCTTCAAATTCACCAGCTACACCTGCCCCCCTCTCCCAGCCAAAACCATCCATCTTTCAGGATACCCTAGATGGGCTAGGCCCCCTGCTGGATCGGGGTTGTGGGCACTTTGGCCGATTGTGACCTCGTCTGTCCAGGCAGGTATTCTGCTAGTGGGACCCGGGACCCATAACACTAGCAGAAGCCAGTATTGCCTGGGGCTGGCACTCATCCTACCATAGGTTATGACATCAGTGACTTAAAAAACAAAAATAAGAAGTGATAGATCCATCAACCTCTAGGGAATTTTGTCGATCTGCCTTGTCCCCTTCCCTAACCAGGCCAGAATCAGTCCAAAGTTCTTCCACATCTGCCAGGGAAATTCAGTAATGTGGACTGTTAGCATATGAATAAATAGAACTAAATATTTAATCTGAGTGTTGAGTGTTCTAACTGGTTAAAAGGAAGACTACAACAGGTCAGACTGAAAGGTGAACTGTCAGGCTGGAGAGGGGTTACCAGTGGTGCTCCTTGGGGATTGGACCAGTCTTATTTAACATTTTTATTACTGACCTTGGCACAAAACGTGGAAGTGCGCTAATAAAATTTGCAGATGGCACAAAGTTGGGAGGGATTGACAATACAGAGGAGGACCAGAATATCATACAAGAAGATCTGGATGACCTTGAAAACTGGAATAATAGAAATGGGATGAAATTCAACAGTGCAAAGTGCAAGGTCATGCATTTAAGGACTAACAAGAATTTCTGCTATAAACTGGGGATGTATCTGTTGGAAGTGACAGAGGAATCATAGAATCATAGAATATCAGGGTTGGAAGGGACCCCAGAAGGTCATCTAGTCCAACCCCCTGCTCGAAGCAGGACCAATTCCCAGTTAAATCATCCCAGCCAGGGCTTTGTCAAGCCTGACCTTAAAAACCTCTAAGGAAGGAGATTCTACCACCTCCCTAGGTAACGCATTCCAGTGTTTCACCACCCTCATAGTGAAAAAGTTTTTCCTAATATCCAATCTAAACCTCCCCCACTGCAACTTGAGACCATTACTCCTCATTCTGTCATCTGCTACCGTTGAGAACAGTCTAGAGCCATCCTCTTTGGAACCCCCTTTCAGGTAGTTGAAAGCAGCTATCAAATCCCCCCTCATTCTTCTCTTCTGCAGGCTAAACAATCCCAGCTCCCTCAGCCTCTCCTCATAAGTCATGTGTTCCAGACCCCTAATCATTTTTGTTGCCCTTCGCTGGACTCTCTCCAATTTATCCACATCCTTCTTGAAGTGTGGGGCCCAAAACTGGACACAGTACTCCAGATAAGGCCTCACCAATGTCGAATAGAGGGGAACGATCACGTCCCTCGATCTGCTGGCTATGCCCCTACTTATACATCCCAAAATGCCATTGGCCTTCTTGGCAACAAGGGCACACTGCTGACTCATATCCAGCTTCTCCTCCACTGTCACCCCTAGGTCCTTTTCCGCAGAACTGCTGCCTAGCCATTCGGTCCCTAGTCTGTAGCGGTGCATTGGATTCTTCCATCCTAAGTGCAGGACCCTGGACTTATCCTTATTGAACCTCATCAGATTTCTTTTGGCCCAATCCTCCAATTTGTCTAGGTCCTTCTGTATCCTATCCCTCCCCTCCAGCGTATCTACCACTCCTCCCAGTTTAGTATCATCCGCAAATTTGCTGAGAGTGCAATCTACACCATCCTCCAGATCATTTATGAAGGAAGAGAAAGACCTGAGTGTATTGGTTGATCACAGGATGACTGTGAGCCACCAATGTGATGCGGTTGTGAAAAAGGCTAATGCAGTCCTCGGATGCATCAAGTGAGGTATTTCCAGTAGAGACAGGAAAGTGTTAGTAGCATTATACTGGTGAGATCTCATCTGGAATGCTGTGTGCAATTCTGGTCTCCCATGTTTAAGAAAGATGAATTCAAACTGAAATAGGTGCAGAGAAGGGCTACTAGTATGATCTGAGGAATGGAAAACCTATCTTATGAGAGGAGACTCAAAGAGCATGGCTTGTTTAGCCTTACCAAAAGAAGGCCGAGGGGAGATATGATTACTCTCCATAAATACATCAGAGGCATAAATACAAGGAAGGGAGAGGAGTTATTTAAATTAAGCACCAATATGGACACAAGAACAAATGGATATAAACTGGCCAGCAACAAGTTTAGGCATGAAATTAGGCAAAGGTTTCTAACCATTAGAGGAGTGAAGTTCTGGAATAGGTTTCCAAGGGGAGCAGTGGGGGCAAAAAAACCTAACTGGCTTCAAGACTGAGTCTGATCAGTTTATGGAGAGGATGGTACGATGAGACTGCCTACAATGGCATGTGGCCCATCGGCGACTACCAGAAGCAAATATCTCCAACGGCTGGTGATTGGACTCTAGTTGGGGAGGGCTCTGAGCTACTACAGAGAATTCTTTCCCAGGTGTCTGGCTGGCGGGTCTTGCCCACATGCTCAGGATCTAACTGATCGCCATATTTGGGGTTAGAAAGGAATTTTCCCTCGGGTCAGATTGGCAGACACCATCCGGTTTTTTTTGCCTTCCTCTGCAGCATTGAGCATGGGTCACTTGCAGGCTTAAAGCAGCGTAAATGGTGGATTCTCTGTAATTTGAAGTCTTTAAACCATGATCTGAGGACTTCAGTAACTCAGCCAGAGATTAGGGGTCTATTACAGGAGTGGGTGGGTGAGGTTCTGTGGCCTGCGATGTGCAGAAGGTCAGACTAGAGGATCATGATGGTCCCTTCTGACCTTAAAATCTGTGAGTCTTGATCTCGCTCTCTCTCCCGCTCCCTCCCCTCCTTCTATGCTCTACCATTTTGTTTCTTTTCCTTCCAGGTTACTCTCTTACTGCTCTCTTTCTTTTCTTCTCTCCCCGTATGCCCCATTGTTTGTTCCTCTGTCTTCAGTCTTTGTGATCCTCCTGCCCCCATTTGCCCTCATCATACTACTGCTCACACGGTGGGGTGGGCCAGGAACACAAGTCTTTCAGGCCCTCCACTCCCAAGTCCCGCTACTGACTGTCAGGCTCTGAGACCAAGCCCACTGAAGCAAAGCACTTCAGAATGGTTCTACAATACCTACAGGTCACTTTCAGGGGCTGGCACATCCAAAGAATGCAGAGTATGCAGGCCCTTTGTCTTCCACACTGGGCAGTGAAGAGACTCCCTGGAACTCCTTGGGGGAGCCCTGTTGCCATGTTAGATTCAGTTTATAATGAAATCATAGAATGAGGTGAGGTTCAGAGAATTAGTTAGCATTATTATAGGGGTGTGTGTGATGCTGTTAAAGTCTCAGTGAGGCATAACTCCTATACTATCCCAATTTGAGTCCTGTTTGGCATATATATTAGACTGCCAAAAGCGTCCCTGTATAAATAGTTTTGCTTCCAGCTTATGATAGCTCTCAGAATGAAAAGTGCCTTATGACTAATTTCTTCCATCCACGAGATTGAGAAGCCAGAGCAGGTTCTCAGTTTACTTGAACTTCAGTCAAGGCTTGATATTATTAGAAAAATAGTAACATATTAATGCAAGCAAAAATTAAACAGCAGACAAGACCATAGAGAACTTTCATGCTCAAAAATCAAACCATAAACTTGAATTCTAGTTTACCTACACCATACATGAAAGTGTCTCTCAAGGAACAAAGCCAGGCAAATGATTTTCATGAACAGATGATATATGTACTACTAAGTGAATTGGTTATTAGGGATTTAGATAGTAGATATGTTCGTTTGACCTCTGGAATGTCAAGGTGACAAAGGTATAGATTCTAAAATTCCTTCTTAGCTCAGTCATAACTGCCTTGTAAGTTGGTTTTGTTTTACTTTTTAATTTCCTTCTCTCACTTCTTTGCATTAATTTGTGTCTGCTTTTCATTGTCTTCAAAAAAAGTTGGATGCCCTGTATTACGTGCATAACCTTGGACTAGATTCAACTAAAATAAGATAAAAAAAAGTCTAACAAGTGTGATCTGAACTGCAGTGGTATCAAGTGTTATCCAAAGAAAGCAAAGTCCTGATTTCTAATTTAATATAAAGAAAAAGTGTTGAGTGCAAAAGTGAATTATTTTATTCTAGTGACCAGCATAAATGTTTGAAGTATGAGTTGCATCTCTGGGACATTCATGCATTTCTAAATGCTTATTTTAGCACTCTGCTGCTAAGATGTATTTTTAATTTGGACACTTGCAAACCTCTTGAGATCATAGTCTCTGAGAACAAAAAAAATAACAGCTAATAGAATCTCCAGTGTGTCAAAGGCATTGTTGTATTTCTGAGACGTCATTTGATTTGTGAAATGACATGTGAAGACAAGCTAACAAGTGGAAATGTGAAGACAAGTTAATTTCCTAATAAGCGGAAATTGCAGTTATAACTAATCCAGATATAACGTAAATATTATTTAACAAAACTCCCTTTTTTTGGACTGAGGTCATTCAGGCAGTGAGAATCTCTTATTTTATGTTTGTACAGCACCAAGCACAATGAGGCTCTCCTTTGGGATCTACTATGAAATAAGTTAATAAATAATAATTTAGGCCATGTAAAATTTCACAGAGAACTGTTACTGGAAGCATTAATTGAAAAAAGATAACTAAGTCCTAACAGTTACCATAAGAACATAAGAATGGCCATACTGGGTCAGACCAAAGGTCCATCCAGCTCAGTATCCTGTCTACCGACAGTGGCCAATGCCAGGTGCCCCAGAGGGAGTGAACTTAATTGGTAATGATCTAGTGATCTCTCTCCTGCCATCCATCTCCACCCTCTGACAAACAGAGGCTAGGGACACAATTCCTTACCCATCCAGGCTAATAGCCATGAATGGACTTATCCTCCATGAATTTATCCATTCTCTTTTAAACCCTGTTATAGTCCTAGCCTTCACAACCTCCTCAAGCAAGGAGTTCCCCAGGTTAACTGTGTGCTGAGAGAAGAAGAGCTTCCTTTTATTTGTTTTAAACCTGCTGCCCATTAATTTCATTTGGTGGCCCCTAGTTCTTATATTATGGGAACAAGTAAATAACTTTTCCTTATTCACTTTCTCCACACCACTCATGATTTGATATACCTCTATCATATCCCCCCCTTAGTCTCCTCTTTTCCAAACTGAAAAGTCCTAGCCTCTTTAATCTCTCCTCATATGGGACCCATTCCAAACCCCTAATCATTTTGACAGGTTTCAGAGTAACAGCCGTGTTAGTCTGTATTCACAAAAAGAAAAGGAGGACTTGTGACACCTTAGAGACTAACCAATTTATTTGAGCATGAGCTTTCGTGCTGAGCTGAGCTGTAGCTCACGAAAGCTCATGCTCAAATAAATTGGTTAGTCTCTAAGGTGCCACAAGTACTCCTTTTCTTTTTGCTAATCATTTTGGTTGCCCTTTTCTGAACCTTTTCTAATGCCAGTATATCTTTTTTGAGATGAGGGGACCACATCTGTATTCAAGATGTGGGCGTACCATGGATTTATATAAGGGCAATAAAATATTCTCCGTCTTATTCTCTATCCCTTTTTTAATGTTTCCTAACATCCCATTTGCTTTTTTGACTGCCGCTGCGTGGACGTCTTCAGAGAACTATCCACGATGACTTCAAGATCTTTCTCCTGATTAGTGGTAGCTAAACTAGCTCCCATGATATCGTACCATTAATGGCTTTAGAGTAGCTGGATATTTTTTTCACAAAATATGTGAAAATAAAGCTGACTTTGAAACTGAGGTGTTTAAATGCATCTATTAAATCTAATGAGAGCAAGCTAAAAATAACATGAACAGTATGTGTATCTGAAGGACTACATTAAAGTACTCAACTCCTTTGTTAGGTTGGTGCACAATAAAATTGGTGAAACAGCTGAAACAGAAGTCAATTTCTAATCTTAACGTTGACTACTTTTATGTCAACTATAACAACCTTTGCTTACTTTGTTATTCTCACAATGTTCCTGATGTCTGGGTCTGAAATAAAAGAGGAAGCAAGACATGCAATTAAAATAGTCCAATTAAAAAAAAAATTCCCAATAACTGTTTGACAAGAAAATATTTCCAAAAAGTGGGAAAAAAGGCTTACTGAACAGAAGTTACTATCACGTAGAAAGTTAATGTTTAATTTCTTGAAGCAGGATGCACTTGTACACGCTGGACTTGATTCAAAACTCTCTGAAGTCAATGGAATAAGAATGGGAGAACGGCCATATTGGGTCAGACCAATAGTCCATCTAGCCCAGTATCCTGTCTTCCGACAATGGCTGGAGCTAGATTCTTCAAAGGGAATGAACAGAACAGGGCAATTTATTGAGTGATCCATTGCCTGTCGTCCAGTCCTAGTTTCTAGCAGTCAGAGGTTCAGGGACACCCAGAGAGCATGGGGTTGCATCCTTGACCATCTTGGCTAATAGTCATTGATAGACCTATCCTCCATGAACTTATCTAACTCTTTTTTGAATCCCGTTATACTTTTGGCCTTCAGAACATCGAGTTCCATAGGTTGTCTGTGCATCGTGTGAAGAGGTACTTTCTTACGTTTGTTTTAAAGCTGCTGCCTGTTGATTTCACTGGGGTTCACTGACTTCACTGGACTTTTGTGAGATACAAGTTGATAATCATTTAATTGAAATTTCCACATAACCCTTGGAAACGCTCTAAAATGTATGATTTTTATTTATTGATATCTAGATCCCCTATTGCCATACATGTATTTCTAAACAAGCAAATGACAAAAACAATATTTTTCTCACTATTTCTATTAATACAAATAAAGCTATGTATGTTTAAAATTGAAACATTTATTTTCTTTTTTTATTGAGATGGCACATCCAAAGTAACTTGCATTTAGAATCTCAGCATAGATGAAAACACTGGTTCTGTAGGCACAAGATGATTGATTTATTGCAGAACTCTCAATCTCTCTAGTTATTTGAAACACTTTGTCTCTTCTTTTCAGGTCCCAGTACAATGGTCAGATATGGTCACTTTAAAAGCCAGGATGACCAACTATGGCTTACCTAGATACCAGTGGCTTACTCATGCTTGGAATTTCTTTCAGAGGGAGGTAAGAAGATAGTCAGTTCATGAAATGTAATGGTACGTATGCACAAAGTGCTACTTATCTGTTTGATGGAAAAAGGTTTAGTTATAAATAAAAAGGTGAGGCTTTTTCTGCAAGCTAACTGAGGGCTTATATTTTGGTGTAGTCCTTGAAAGCTATTGGCACACAGCCTCTCAAATTCTTGTAAATTCTAGACAAATACACAGGAATTGTGTATTTTCATAATTTCACTCCCTTTTTCTTGTAACTTACATTATTTATATATAATTCCAAGGATGCACTGTAGCTGCATTAGTTCTGTATACATATCATATTTCATTAACTGGACTGACAAAGACTTGCAACAGAGGTTTACACCCTGTAGTCCGTGGACCCCCTGGGGTCTGCAGACTATGTCTAAGGAGTCCATGAAAGGTTGTTGTTGTTACCATAGAACAGTGGTTTTCAACTTGTGGTCTGCAGATCCCTGGGGGTCCACAGACTGTCTAAAATTTCCAGTAGGGTCTGCACTTCCATATGAAATATTTTAGGGATCCACGAATGAAAAAAGGTTGAAAAGCATTGACTTACAACAGGGGTTCTCAAACTTCATTGCATCTCGACCCCTTTCAACAATAAAAATTACTACATGACCCCAGGAGGGGGGACTGATGCCTGAGCCAGCCGGAGCCGCTGGAGGTCATGGTGGTGAGGGGCGCAAAGCTGAAGCCCAAAGGCTTCAGTCCCAGGCAGGGGCCTGTAATCTGAGTCCCAATGCCCAGGGCTAAAACCCTCCGGCTTTGGCCCTGGGTGTTGGTGCTCAGGCTTCAGCGTCAGTCCCGGGCCCCAGCAAGTCTAAACCAGTCCTGGCGACCCCATTAACATGGGGTGATGACCCACTTTGGGTTTCTGACCCACAGTTTGAGAACCACTGACTTACAATATTAAAAACCACCTCCAGCGTTGTGAGTGCAGTTGCATTGATTTAGAAACCTAGCTACCTGATTACACCTGCAGATCAGATAGGTGTCTAAAAAAGGTACAATTGAAGGCTCCTTTAATTGTGGATGCAATATTTGAGGCCTAATTAAAAATCTGTGCCAGTGTGTGTTAAAACTTACTGCTTGTACATACCACCAATAATACAAAATAAGAATGTTCCTGAATTTAAATAATATCTTCAGTTAACTACTTCTCCTCTGCCAAAGATGGGAGCACCCAGGCCTTTATTTATATTTAAATGAGGAATACAAGTGTGAAGAATTAAAAATTGACTCACTGCATATACAGTAAAGTGAACGTCCTATGGTAGTTTAGTATTATTGTCCTCCCCTCTTACTGCATGCTTTGATTTGTTGCGTCCTTTCTATGGATTTGCCATATTTGAGACATTATATTGGTTGGAAAGGAGCATGAAAGGGTGTTTCTAAGCAGTTGCCAATACTGTCTCTTTGGTTGCAGTTTCATTAAAGTGGTCAGTTTTATGTCCTGTCACCAGGAAAAAAAACCCAACATGGCTTGAACATTCACATATTTGCTCTATAGCCTTCTGAAATACAGAACTGTATTCATTTTAAAGAATGAACTATTATGTCACAGAAACAGGGACATGTACAAGCTAAAAACCATTAGCTTCAGATACATGTTCACATGCAGGAAAAGAACTTTTTAATGCTTGTCATTATGTTGCCTTTGTTAAAATGCTGAAATCTATCATTGTTGCAGATTTCCTGTTTATTTAAACATTTCCTGGCTACACTTGGTTAGTCTGTATTTGTGTTAGAACCTGAAGGAAAGAATAAATAAAGGATTAGAAGAGTTTAATATATTTTCTGCTAAAGCTTTTCAAATGCTACTAGAAACAGTAGTTCTTCATGTTTAGGTAGATTGAGAGAGTCTGTCTATGGTCTATATCTGAACCAATATAAACAATTCCTGGGATTTCCATGCACGCTGCCTTATGATATCTTGTTTTAAATGTATGTGTTGGTTAGATAAAAAAGATGCCTTTATGTATTAGTTATTATAGTGTCACAGCAATGACCCTGTAAGTCTTAAATGACTCTTCCTCTAGAAAGGCTGATTTTTAAATAAATGAAAAATCAACTTCCCTGCCAAAGAACAAGCCCTGACTCTCGGGGGGGGAAGGAGCCCTTTATAATAGAAATTTCTTGTGTTTCGTCCATAGCCAGAGGAAATTATTTTTGGAAAGTTTGAGATTAATTGGACAAACTCTTTCAGCAGTACAGCACACTGCCTCGCTCACTGATGGGTTCTCAGTTTTTGAGCATTATGGGCCAGATTTTTAAAAGAAGGAAATCAATGGAAGTTAAGTGCCTAAATATCTGGGCCTATGCTAATTATTTTTGTCTGCTCTCACTCAGATATTGGATGTGTGATCATCAGACTTATTTTCTGCATGAATGAACACTGGTGTATTGGGCCATTTTTATGAAGTTGGAATGCAAACTTCTTAGTTCATAAAGGATCAGGTTTTTTATCAGCTGTGAGCTCTGTCTTCTGTGTTTTATAACTTTTTGGGAGAGAAGTGAAATCTGTTTTTCCTAACCACCTCGTTATGTTTTTTTAAAGAGCAAATTGCTGATCCAATAACCAGAAAGGGTGAACTTGTGGCTAGGAAGGTACAGAGAGGGAGAATTGAGGTTGGGAGAAGGACAGTGGGGAAGCAGAAGAATGAAAGTAAAAACGAATAGGGAAAAAAGCCGATAGCAGATAACAAGAGGGGCCAAAGCTTGAAGTCTTCAGTCAGGCAAAACTCCCCAGCAATTCAGTAAGACTTTGGCCTGAATGAAAAGGTAGGTGAAAACCAAGAAAGAATTTAGTAATGGGACTCTGATGAGAAGCAGAAGGTGGGGGGAGGGGGAAGAATTTAAAATTAACAAGAAAAGAGAAGTGCTGGTTGACAGCTATACTAAGGTATGGTGGGAGAGAATGTGTGTGTTGGTGTGCAGGCAATGGACAGAGGATAGGGGATTGCACGAAGTAAATCTGGAGCCATTGCATCAGCCCTCTTTGTTGTGAATGCAGCCTAGAAAATGAAATCCCATCACTAGGTTATAAGTTTGTTACTGTGATTTTTATGATCTATTATGACCTGTTTTGTGGTCAGAGTTCCTACTATTATGATTCTAATACAGATTATAGTCTCCTGTGATACTTTATTTTCCCCCAAATTTCCTTCCTCCTATTTTCCTTTTCCATTTCAGTATTTTTCTTAGCACTTTTTTATTGTCTTCACTTTTTACTCATTTTCTTTCCTTTCCCTTATTTTTGTCCCTTTCCCTGCTCTGACACATCTCTTCCTGTGCATTTCCCCCCTCCCCCCCAGATTTGCCTCTAGTCTGCTCTAGTTTTGTAGGGATTCTCCATTCCACTGGCTTTTATTAAACTTCTCTTGGCTACCCCCATAATCACAGCAGCATTGCAGGCGAGGACAATTTCTGTGAAGCACCAAGTAGGGCAGTGGTTTTCAACATGTGATCCACGAAAGGTTGTTGTTACCATAGAACAGTGGTTATCAACCTATGGTCTGTGGACTACTGGGGGTCCATGGACTATGTGTAAGATTTCCAAAGAGGTCTGCACTTCCAGTCAACATTTTTTAGGGGTCCGCAAAAGAAAAAAAGGTTGAAAACCACTGAACTAGGGGATTGGTGGGGAGGGAAAGGACAGATCACAGATCTATGTGATTGGCTGATTTTTGGCTTGGTTATGTCCAGGGACAACAGAGGCATCCATAAAATGAGGCTCTGTACAGGAGCTGCCAGAAAAAATACCTAAAAACAATAGCCTGTGTATGTCTGGTTCTAGATACATGTTTTAAAAAGTTGGTTCAGTTTTTAGCTTTTATGACCAGGGAGCATCACACTGCAGTCACTGATCTTGGCTAACGTTTCCTTTACAGTTTAAGTGCTGTGGAGTGGTGTACTTCACTGATTGGCTGGAAATGACAGAGATGGACTGGCCTCCTGACTCCTGTTGTGTTAGAGAGTTCCCGGGATGCTCCAAGCAGGCACATCACGAGGACCTTAGTGATCTTTATCAAGAGGTAGGGAGGAAAAAATAGTGCTACACTTAAATATTTCAGAAGGGTATGTACTTACATGTTCCTATGACTTCCAAACTCATACCATGTAAGTCTGAAAAATGTTTGGCGTTCTTGCTGAGTTCCTTGGAATTTTACCTTCTTTTCTGGCAAGGATCTCCCACCATAGGGAGAGATGTCTTCCCAAAGCTTGTCTCTCTTCCCTCTCCCCTGCCCTCAAACATTCACACCATTCCTACTTCTGTATATTTTGGAAACTCCTCCTACTTTGGAGGTGTGCATTCCAAATGTATGAGTATATATTGACAAATGGACTCCGAAAGACAGATCTGTTGGTATGCTTCTCATGAAAGGCTGTGGTAAGCAGAAAGATTCTGTTGGTGGGTGGAAATGGAGGGGGAGATTTTATATAGTGGGCCATATTCATTCCTGGTGTAACTCAATTGAAGCTACAAGGGTGGTATCATCATCTTAAAGAGTAAGAATTTGACTTCCTCTTTTTGGTTACTGAGGTAATAGAAAAGTCTTACAGAATCAGTGGATTTGTGGCCTGCCTTCAGTTGAAGCTTTCAAAATATCTGTTCACCTCGAAATGAGATAAGGCATTAGCAATGCAGTTAGCACCTTGCGCATGTGTAAGCCCTGAAATAGCTATTTTATATTGAATAATATAGTCACATGAGTCTCCCAGTTTTGGCAAGCTGATTACTGAACTTCCAAATGGCTATGGACATAGAAGACCACACACTAATTCATAAATTCCGTTTCTCCAACTCACCAGGCTGGAGAGAGATTTCAGGATTGTGAAGGTTCTCAGATACTATGGTGATGATGACCACATAAGTACCTAGACAGGAAGATGCCTCTGTCAAGTCCTTTGAAAATCCAAGAGCTCTGTTGATGCCTCAGCCAGCAGGGATCATGCACACAGACAAATAACACAGTCACTCCAATGTGAACATAAATGGAGACTTTATGCCAAAGCAGTCATTTTCTATGGTCTACACTATTGTTGCTGAGTTGTATATAATATTTTTTTAAAAGGATAAAAAATGGATAATGAGAGGGAATACATTTGAACCTGAAGAGATTGATAGCATCACTTGAACAAACACATCAGTGGTTGCAAGATCAAAATATGTTAAAATTAAGAAAATACTTTCATTACTGATGCTCTTATCTCTTCTCATGCAGACTTGCTCTTGAGCCTGCCTCATCAAAGTATGCTGTTTTTGCAGGCATCATCACTTACGCTGGCAGAAAGCTGAAAATCATTAGTTGTGCTCTCAATAGTACTATGATTGATGTCTCCAAAATGGAGGCATCGGGAACATCGTATATTTAAATGTGAAAAAAGGCTTTGAGAGGAGAACAAATGTACATTTGCCTCCATGTGTATGTTAGGTATGTGAAATAAGTTTGAGTTTGTGGCAGTCAGGAATAGCATTTGATCCTATTTCAAAACTTAGATCACTTGAATTTCTTAGAATTGACAGTATCTTGGAATGGTTGTAGTTTCTATTTGAACATAACAATCATATTCTGTCTGAAAAACAACCAAATATTAAAAGCATGTACAAGTTTTATTTTGTTGATAACTTAGGTTTTTTATTTTGTTTTTAAACAATGAAAAATACTAAGAGTCAGAGTAACTTTTAACTTTATACTTAAGACATAAAATTATAGCAATAACTTTGTAATTTACTATTCAGGATTTCTTGGTGATGTTGCATTCTTTTGGCACTTTACTTTTGTTAGCTCACTTTGGACATTTGGAGAGTTTGAGCAAAGATTATGCATATTAAAATAATATTATAAATATTGCATGAAACAGACCTGCCTTTGCATTTTTATAAGGTTTAATCAAGGCTAATGTTAATAATAATATGAAGCAAGACTAGTCCTCTTTCAAGAGTTCTTTTACAATTTCTGTGAGTGGAAGGGGGGAGGGGTGTACCCTGTAAAGTGAATATATTTATTGGCCAGGACATTGAAGTTAAAGCACATTTAAATCTGAATAAATGAGTAGTTAAATGTGTTCTCCTTTGGAAGAAGTGTGAAATCAGATTTTTTCCACTTTGAGGATGATGAAGAAACATTTGCCAAGCACTTTTTAAAATCATGGTTTTTAAAAACTCCATTACTTACAACAGACTTTTTAGAAATTTAAAGGTGCAATTTTTGCTATTTGGCAAACACTATCTCTGCTGCCAATGATCTTCCCCCAATGTGCATCTTGTGCTTCAGTGAGACAGAAGCTGTATGGTCTCTGTTTTGGCTACTTCCTTCTCTTTAGCATCATCGTCATCATCAATAATATTAATACTCTTCTGAGACTAGGATTGATAGTTAACTTAGGTTTCTGTTGTTGACTATAGCAGAGCAGGGTACAAAGCATTGTCTGGCCTACATAAAGTTTTGCCTGTTTTTGTTTGTTGTTTAATTTAGTGACATTGCTGAACTGAAAATATCTAGCATAAAATTCTCCATTCCTCTCAAGCTACACTCAGTTCAGAAATGGGAATGGTGTAGGATGTTCAAGTGTAACTGGTGTAAATTAGAGCAGCTTCAGGAAGCTCATGTCACTGAGAAAAGACTGCATTAGCAAGGAGGAGCTTTCTCCACTCACTGGGGAAAATGGTCTCCTGTGTGCTTTTCCTTCTGATACCAAAGGTTTTGAACAAAACTCATTAGCCAAAAGTTATATTGATTCTAAGAGCGCCATCCTAGCCCAGACAGGTATAGTACTCTGCTTTCATGCTGATCCCACTGGGCTGAAAATCTGGCTTCAGATCATTATTCAGAATCAGGGCACATCACCCCATCCCAGTCTATTACAGCTTGGCTCCTGGCAAGACTGAGTCTTTAATTATGGTGTGTCTGAGTAGATAGCTGTCTCTTGTCCTTCAGACATCTCAAAAGCCATCTACCAGAAGGATCTTCTTTTCTGAGTGGAAAAGGTTTAACATGTGGTGGAATCAGATCTGCCTTGTACAAAAACTGTTTGAGTACCACCACCTTGTTTTATTTGACTAGGTTTATTTAATTGCAGTATGTTTTGGGTTCATTTGGAGCTTGACACTTTTAATGCAACCCTGATGAAATCTTCTTTTGAGCCACTCAGTTCCAGGGAACTGAGTTCCTAAGACATGGAAGGTCATTTTCCTGGAGACAGTTCAGTTCATGAATTCCTAGGAGGAAGGCCAGAAGGAAACATAATAATCATTTAGTCCAACCACCTCCTTAGCACAAGGCAAAGAATGTCATTCGACATTACGCACAGTAACTGATGGTTGAACTAAGTGTATCTTTCAGAAAGACACCCAGTCTTGATTTATAGAATCAATACATCACTATTATGTAGAGAGTTTCAACTGTGGATCTCACGTCATTTTAGAAAGGAAAGCTATGTATCATTATCTCCATTTTACTGACTGGGAAAATGCAGCACAGAAAGATGAAGTGTCTTGCCAAGGTCACATAGCAGGGCAGTGACAGAAACAGGATACAAACCAGGTCTCCTGACTCTTAGCCCATTGTCCTGTACACTGGAATACGTTGCCTCATAAAATGAGAGTGCTTGAGGCCCTAGTGCCTGATCCACCTTATTATACCCAATTAAGAAGAATCAGGCGGTGCTAAGGATTCATCAAAGACTCCTCTCTGATGTGGGGTCAGAAGTCAACATCAATGGCCTATTGTTCTGCCAACATTCTTTCCACTCCCATGTCCTCATTTCGATGAGTCCTTTCTCCCTGTGCTTGATGTCCACAGTCTTTTTGGTTTCACTTGGAGCAGACTAACATCCTTAGATAGGGCAACTAATTTTCCATTGCAATGATCTTTGTGATCTGAACCTTACAGGATATGCCAAGGCAAGACTGCCTGGCTTGTGGCTGTCTCCATCACAGACATCTGAAAGGCCGCTACATGGTTCTCCCTCCACCCCCATTCCCAAAACATTATTGGATTAATTCATCTTCCAGGAAGGAATCCTATTTTGGAGTCTTTGCTGCAGAATTGGTTCCAAGTTAAGGCAGGCCATGCTTCTTCTCTTTCACCACAAAAAATATTTTTGCTTCATGTTAAGTGGCACCATATTTTCAGTTGGCAAAAACATTTTCCCCATGAGTTTGATTCTCTAGTTTTGGGTTCATTCAGCAGGCTTGTACTTTAACACCGGATGCTGCATTTTTAGAGGTAACTTAATAGTCTTTTTTTATGCTGAAAAAAGTCTGTGTTTGGATTGATGGTCGGCATTGACATAGCTGCTGCTCAATGCAGCTGTGCTATAATTTTCTTTTGAGAAATGTCTTGAGCGTCTTATTCTTGAAGAGTCAGAATCCTGCACAGATGGCATTGTTAATGAAAGGAAGATGAGTTACCTGTAACGCTGCTGCACAGAAGATATGGTCTTGCCGGAATCTTGCTTCCCCACCCATTGCTTTGCAGATTTTGGAAGTAACCTTTTTCTGAGTTATTTTTCCTCTCTCACTTTTTTTTTGCCTTCTGAGCTATTATTTTTTGCATATGTTGATCTTTGTGAATTGGTTTTCTTTTTGGGAGCTTCACTTCCTGTACAATTGAAAGAATAGACTAGAACATTTGAAGATCAGCGGTCATCAGAGGGTGATGTAAGAGCACAGTAGTGGGCTTGGTGTGCTCGTTACCTGCCTTCACTAGGTTAAAAAAATATAATCTTGAGAGGTAGGAGAGTTCAGCTGTTCTAACGGTAAGAAGCTAAGGCCCAGGCATAAGAATCCTGAAAGATGTTATCTTCAGAGAAGCAAAATTACAGGTAAATATCCTTCCCTTTTATAACTGATGGACTCTGATTACATATAGGAAGCAGATCTGTTAGCTAAGTTGATGTCATTTGTACATAGTCACTTTCAGTGTAGAACTAAACTTTTTGAATCTGATTTTCATTTACACTATGGCCACTTTTCAACACTGAGTGTTAAAGTGGGTGTAAAAGTATTTTATGCCTACTTTAGCGCCCCTTTACACATGGCCATAGTATAAATGAGAATAAGGCCCTAAATTTATAGCTTTGCAAGCTTGAGAAAGTAATACTATACTGAATGATCTTTACAAATTGTAATAGTTGGTATTGTGTTGTCACTAATGTAAGAGCTGTTCTTCTTGACATAGATTTTTACTTCAGCCTAGGAGAGTATATTTATATGTCCTTTAATTGCAACTTAAAAACTCTGAGTATATCAAATATGCATAAATAAAATGTATAAATTGGGGATAATGGGAATGGCTGGATAGGTCTAGTTTTGGAAACTGATTTGAATGTGAACCAGAGCAGAAATGTAAGAGCATCATTAAGTGGAAGGAGGCAGCCTGGAGAGATCTGGTATAAATTTGCCTTAGTTACATGTCTGTACTGCAGGAGCTGTACGGATTAATGCTATTGCTCTCTGATGCTGATGTTTCCTCTAGACAGCAGATGAACTGAATTTGAGTACTGTGTGTAAGCATTTTTTAACTGTGACCAGCATGCACTTAGTTCCTCATAAGTTATCAGAAAATATTAAATCAGCTAGTTTCTTCACAGTTAAAAACAAATTTGGAGCAGCATAATTGAAACAATATATTTTGCTTAGGAAAACGTGCCCAAATGACTTTCTTGTTCTGTATCAGTTTGAATTAAAGGTCTTTTGCTGCAAAGATTTTTGTTTTAAAATTTCTTAGAAGCCTAAATTTGCTTTTTGTTCTGCTCTGAGTCTCACCTCTGTTAAAGCATTGACCGAATGAAACTGTTGAAAGTCTGTGTTGTATTACTGTGGTTAATACTGGAAAGATGTCAAAGTCCTTTAATGTATTCTGACATAATGTTTTCAGAATACATGGAATAGTTTATTCATTACAGATCCGAAGTGAGGGACCTGTTGACGTCGGTGTGAGTTTGCATGTGAAGCACTTGTAGAATCAGGCTGTTAGTCAAGTAAACTGGCATCTATGACGGTGGCATTTGAAATAAATTTTGGTTTCTGGAAGCTTTTAACATGACAGGAATACTAACGTGGTCATGCTCAGTGTTAAAAGCCTGTTATTTTGGACAGTTACTTATTTGTCATAAGACTATGTGGAATAGATTAGTAGGGTCACAATCACAGAAACAACATTTTGAAAATAACATGACCAACCCGATGGCTTATCAAAGTGTCCTGTTGGTACTAGTGACTGTGTGCTTCCATCACACTGTCCTGTGAAGACCTGTGTCTCTGTGAATTTCCCCTCACTTGTCCTGTGCAGAAGACCCACCTTTAAATCTCTGTAGAGTTCAGGGGTGGAATAGAGTTGGGTTGGACTGAAGGAGCTGAAGTGCTGCTCTCTACAGCACTTTCCCTTGGGATTGATTTTAATGTAGAAATCTGGGCAGGGATGAAATATAGTTTGCAGTTGTATTACCTCCTATTGGTTCCCTGTGTACAGTTATTACTGAGCCGCTTCAGAAAGGCCCTGCCTGTGGCTCTTCCTGGACACATCCTGCTAGGGTAAAATGGCCATCCCTGCAGGACAGCTCCCTTTCCCACAGATCCATGAGATGCTTGGCCAGGACGGGGGACTGGATGCCTGGGCTTAAAAATCTGTGTGATCAACTCTCCCCAAAACTCCTCTTTCTCAAGAGAGACTGGTTCAAGGAAGATTCTGCAAGGCTACTTACTTATTTTTTCTGCAGAGAGAAGACAGTTAGCCTTGGATATTTTGATTTGGGTGTTTTCCTGTAAAATTGTCTGCATCAGCAGTTATCAGACTGTGGTCCAAGGAGCACTTGGTGATGGTCTGCAGAGAGCTCAGTGGTCATGTGATCTGGACTCTGCCTTGATTTTACATTTTAAAAACAAGTGAAATGCAATAATTTCTTAATAGTACTTTTCCATGTCAGGAATGGCTGTAGCTGCATGCTGGGATATTATGTCATCATGAATGGGAGGAGAGGAGCTACATGCAGAGATCACCTTAATAAGATGCTAAGGGCTTGTCTTCAGTGTAGCTAAATCGGCGATGCTGCGGCATCGATTTAGTGGGTCTGGTGAAGATGCGATAAGTCAATGGAAGAGCACTCGCCTGTCGATATAGTGCGGTGTAGAGACACTGCTGTAAGTTAATTTAAGCTATGTCAACTTCTGTTACATAACTTACGTAACTTAACTAGCGTAACTTAGATTGACTTACTTAGTCACTGTAGACAAGGCCTTCGATTGCGGTTCTTTTTGACAGGGAGCATCTTTTGTTCTGTGTTTGAACAGCAACTTCCACAATGGGCTCCTCGTCATGACTGGGGCTATTAGGTGCTATGGTAATAGATATAATAAATAAGAAGGTGATGTGCCCTTCAGTATAAAATGTTGAAATAATTCTGGTTGACAGAACAGCACTGAGGCATTCAGACCAGTTTGCTGAGGAAGAAGAGTGATTTTGGGGGAGGGATGAGCACCAGTGCTTTGTGTGTCGGGAGGCTACTTTGCTATGGACTGGTAAACTTCATCAGTGCAATTTTTCACAATATTGCTCTCGTTGCTGTTTTTTAGTTACAGTAACTGACAGTTTGCGTTAAACATTCTATGACCCAAGAACAAAATGTTTTCAAATAGACTGAATATGTTACTATATGGTAAGTAGCAGTAAGATGCTCAGCCCAGTATAAGATATAGGAATAAAAACAGTCCATGACTTCACAATTTAAAAATCACAAAGATGCTTTTATGTACAGATGAGCACAAAGTCTGGTTAGTTTTAGAGTATAGCCCTGGTGAGTTGCCATAAGTATAAAACATACATGGGCGGGTTTTTTGCAATGAACAGAGGCTGTTAGTTGAAGAACGAAGAGCTGGAATAGTAAAAATATACTTTGTGAGTAAGGAAAACTACTTGTATCTAATACTTTGGAGAAACTGATCATGAATCCTTCTGTAAAGGTTACCTCCCTTTAGTGTTTCCACAGTCGGAAAGACCATTTGGCTTTGTACTGTGACTGGAAAGCATTAATGTAACTAATTTTATCCACTGTCTAGGCTCTTTCTACAGAAGTCAGGAGCTCAGAATAAGAATATGATACATAATGTATGTAGCTAAAAAACTTGAAGAGTCTGGGGAACGCCATGATGAGGTTATACAGTTTGGCAAATCTTTGTTTAGGATATTGGTTTAATTTTGATTCATGGTATTATAAAAATATGTTCTGTTTGGAAAAATCAAAAGGGAGTTAAAACGTTGATCTCATTATTAAAAGCTTAATAGCAACAGCTTTAAAAAAAGCTTTATAGCAATGGACTTAAAAAGTCTAAAGTCTGTCGTTTAGAAAAAAGAGGAGTAAGAAAAGATTTGATGGAGCTGTCTTAAATATTGGAAAAAATAATTGAGTTTTTTTCAAAATAAGCAAGGTTGATCAGATCACAGATCAGATGAGCAGAGGTCATGCGTGGAGAGAAATATGGAACAAACAGATCTCTGGGAGGTTATGTGAATTAAATCTATGAAAGGATTTTGAGACAAGATTGTGGAAAGGGAAAACAAGCAAGCAAAGCAATATTACAAAGCGTGGTTTGAAGAATAGAAATGCGACTCTTGATGGGTCAAAAGGACAATAGTAGATACTATCTATGTGTAAAAATAAGCATTTGGAACTCTGAGGCAGATCCAAATAATGTTGACTGTCTTTTTTATCTTTTTGTTCTATAGGGTTGTGGTAAAAAAATGTACACTTTCTTGAGAGGAACGAAACAATTGCAAGTTCTGCGATTTCTAGGAATCTCTATCGGAGTTACACAGATTCTGGCTATGATCCTCACTATTACTTTGCTGTGGGCTCTATATTATGACAGAAGGGATCCTGGGACAGATCAAATGATGTCCTTGAAGAATGACACCTCACAACACCTGTCATGTCATTCAGTCGAGCTGCTGAAACCCAGCCTGACAAGGATCTTTGAACATACCTCTATGGCAAACAGCTTTAACACACACTTCGAAATGGAGGAATTGTAGGAGATACAAATGAATGTGTGAAGTCACAAAGTTATGGGGCTTTTGTTTTGATTTTGTTTTTCCCCTGTTCTGTCTCCTGCATTTTTAAGTATACCTTTCTGTTTCAGAAAATGGCTAATGAACAGACATGGAGATAGCTCCATGGAAGGACAGTTGATCAAAGATCTGTCTCTCAGCTTCTTCGAGCTATGAAACCATTGTTTTGCATATAAAGCACCATTTACTGGATGCAGCAATATTTAGCTCATCCACAAGATGTACAGCATAATAAGACACTGATATCTACACAAGTAGATAGACACTACTAATGACACTTTAAAAAAAAAGAAAGCATCATAGAAAGTAGAAAGATAACGGTCTTCCATAGAAATGTCTATATTTGAGAGGCAAACAAAATGGACTTTTGAACACGTCTACTAAACCATTGGGAAAATGTTCAGGGATATATGTGAATATAAATATATGGGGTTTTTTGTGTGTGTGTATATATAGTAGAGCTACAGTTCAAGTAAATGGGTTTAAAAATGGCAACATCTGTAAAAAGAGTAAAATTTTCTTTTCTTTTTTCTTTTTTTTAACAGCACCTTTATTTTAGCTGTTTCATTTAAAGATCGTCTAAAAACCTCTATTTTTATCCTAAGATGATTGTTTAATTTTTAAATTAAAATACGTTAAACAGAGGTTTTAAAAACCATGAATATGATCAGTATACTTTATTATTCTAAATGTGACCTAATATGTAGAAAATGTTTTTCAAAACAGTATGTTCTTTGGACTGGATAAATTTAGTAAAAATAAAACATATTTTCTTTCCAAACTAGGGATCAGTATGAGAGTAGCAAATCTTTATAGATAGACCCCTCTTTCTCCTCCTCCTCCTTTCTGCCCTCCAGATAAAAATGAAAGACTATAAGGAAATCAATGATCTACTGGTTTATTGTTCTGGATGCAATTGCAATAAATGTAATGTAAGAGTAAAGAAGGAGAAATTTCACTCTAGCCTTTTCTTCATTGAAAGTTCGCTGTTGACTCAAATTGCCAAATGGCAACAGAGTTAAAATCTATTTATTGAGGTGGGAAAAGTGCATTTTACTGTATTTTTATGTAAATGTTTATTTCAAAGGATTATTTTTTACAGTCAGACAAGTTCTTGAAAAATGTGTTTATTCCAGTAACAGTGCTTTGTGACAAATGGGGTTTTTACACAGTATTGAAATTTTAAAGTTTTTTCCACTTGTTTTGGAACTGTGTAGGAAGAAAAAAAAAGAGGTGCTCTATGGCAGCCAATAAAATCACTACTGCCCAGAATTTTGTGATGGCTTCTTTCTTTTTAAAGTTAAAGAGAGTGGGTGCTTTTTTCCTAGTAATTTAACTTTAAAAAGCTCTATGTTAAATGTCCTTACTGCTGTCAGTTTGTCAGTATTGTGTGTTTAATGTTAAACACACAAATGTTAAACGTAGATATTAGCTGTGAATTTCATTGTTTTTTGACCTTTTCATAAAAGTTTCAAGTGAATGGGAAGCTAGGGAGCCAGTTCAGAGTTTAACCTTTTGTCACTGATCTGTGTGTGTGCTTAATTCCTCTGCAGGCATCACTCTCTGTGGTGAAGCTCCTGCTATGGGCTGTCCCAAGCCAAATTACATTGTAGCTTTTGGACTCTACCTTCTGAGTGATCATGTTTATATTGGGAGATAATGCTGGAGGGAAATAAGTAGGTTTTGGAACGTCACTGTGATGCAAGGAAGTTATTGAGCCCACTCCCCCTAGTCCCACGTCAGTCAAGGTTTCTTCGGTAGCACTTTGCCATTACTAAGGGCCATGGATGACTGAGATAAAAGGGGGATGACTGAGATCAAAGTTGTCCAAGAAATGCTGCTCTCTTAAGAGCAGTTTTCCCTTTTCCTCAGTTTTGTATTCTCTATTGCATTTCCTGTAACGCTTTTTTTTTTAATTTAGAACCTGATCCTGCAAACACTTTCTACCAGGCTTAGTCCCACTGAAGTTAATGCTTCTCTCCTTTCCAGGTGTGTTATGAGGATTTATTTTATTAATATCTGAGGCACTCAGATGGACACCTTAGGGAAGTCTATAAGTAGAATAAATACATGCTTTTGAATAGGTGGGAAATCCACATAAAGAACACTCTTTAGTTCAGAGTGTCTCTCTAACTCTCCAAGTGATCTCATATACACGTTGAACAGGGGCTGGTGTAAGAAAGGCTCCCAGCGGCACCCCACACAAGTGGATCTGCAGGGCTGAAGAACTACTGCCAGAAAATTCCCTCTGGGTTGTTTCTGACAGAAAAGAATGAAGCCATCAAAGCGTGGTGCCTTATATTCTTGATATGGCTCTTGCGTGATTGTGATTGTATCTAAAGGTACCTCTACATTGCCACAGCTGGCCCAGGCCAGCTGATTTGGGTTCCCAGGGCTCAGGCTGCTGTGCTAAAAATTGCAATGTAGACATTTGGGCTCAGGCTGGAGGCTGGGGTCTGAAATGCCATTATGGGGTTGGGTCTGAGAGTCTGGGCTCCAGCTCCAGCCCGAACATCTATATTGCTTTTTTTTTTTTTTTTAACCCTGCAGCTTGAGCCCTGTGAACCCAAGTCAATTGACCAAAGCTCTGAGGCTTGGTGCTGTGGGTTTTTTATTGCAGTGTATATGTACCCTAAGGCAGCTGGTAGAGCTAATATTGGTATGGACACCTCATCTTAATTCATTGTGGGTAGATCATTGCCAATAGAATGAGAGGGGTCTCTGTTCCATAACCAGATTTGACCCTGATCAGTAAGGATTCTGTTCGTCAGTTGGCTGTGTCAGTTTGTCTGTTGTTCTGTTTGTCGGCTTTGGCATCTGTAGAAAAAGTCATATGTGAAGTCTGTATCATAATGCAAACACATACATGGGTCAGATTAAGGTTGATCAGGCAACCATAATTCTGGGCAGTTCCTAACTTCTGACTTCTTGACTCTGCAGCCTTAATAATGTTTAATAATGTTATAATAATAAATACATATGGTGGAGGAGAGGCCTGTTTTCAGGGGAAAGGTTCAGAGGAGTTTGCTGGGTGATAGCTGCTCTCTCCTCTTTTTCAGTGAGGGTCACAGTCTTGGGAGTCCTTTTGGATCACCAGCTTCTACATCCCGAAGCAGCATCAGCGATATCTTTCTTCTCAGGTGTGCACTTTACTAAAATTATCCATGCGCATATAGTCTGCAAATTGTGCAGTGGCAGGTGGGCTACCCTCAGCAGCTCCTCAGAAGCATCAGTTAGTGCACATCATGGTCATCTGCTACAGGATCTTTCCGTGTGTAGGACATTACACCTGTGCTTTATAGACTTCACTGATTCCTTATCCTAATTACAGGGGAAGGGTGTTGATCTATATCAAAACCCTACATCAATTAAATCCATGCTAATGGAGGGACCACCTCTTTCCCTGTACACCATTGCCAATGGAGATGAGTATTCAGTCCCTATATTGGGATTTGCTGATATTTGAAAGTGGCTGTGATGGAAACTCCCCAGTGGTGGGAGTAGAAGTGATTTAAGGAAGTGTGGAGGGGCATCTGGCCATCTATGCCTTCCCCGGCCATCTATGCCATCTGGCCATCTATGCCCTCCCCAGTTTCCTCATCCGGGAACTCACTCAGAGACACCGGGCCCTTCCCATGGCATTACACAGCCATGCAGCCACTACTGGCCCCAGCATCAGGCTTCTAAGAATGAAGCTTTAACATCACAGCCCTCCTGGAAACCAAACAGTGGCGAGGAGGTGCACGCTCTTAAGTGAATCCTCATGTCTGAGCCAGCATTTTAACTTTTCTACCTTCAGTTTTTGGACTCTTGGCAAATATTGACTGGTAATATTCTTCCTCCCACACTCAGCCAACCCTTCCTTCTTCGGTGTGCCAACCCCTCGTCTTTCCTGCATTCTGTTGTCCACGTCTCCCCAATGCAGCACTACTCCCCAAAGTTCCACAGCCCCTACCTATGCAAGCCACACACACAAACACCTCTGTGGGAAGTCAGTGGGACTACTCACATGTGACAGTAAGTCGTGCATAAATGTCTGAAAGGTGCAGTGATGACCTTAAGTTGTGGAGATGCGTCAAGTGGGACACTGAAGAAACCACATGGGTAAATTTACACAGGGTAGGATCAGGCCCTGTATTTGTACAGCATGTAGCATAATGGGAACCTAATCTCAATTGTAGTATCTGGGTTCTACTGGAACATAAATAGTGATAAAGGCAGGGTATTTTCATGAGACTGCCCTTGACGCTGAAATTTACTTTCCCCAGGGTTCTGCCAAAGCTTTAATTTCTTGGCCATAAGTATTGGCCAAGGTTTATGTATTTTAGTCTTTTTGCTGGAGGGAGAATATTTATAAACTCTGCCTGCAGTAAACATAGCTAACTCATTTTGTAAAGTGCCACATACATTTGAGGTAATAAGCAGTAACAACAACAGAGGCCTTTTGTCACTATACAATTAAATGTCTTATACAGATGAGAATCCTGGTATCACTTTTGATGTTTTGACCATTGGAATATTATAACATGTGTGAAGCACTGTTGGTGAAATGAGATATTTAATATAGCATTGCAAATCTTGCTTCTGATTGAGTGAGTTTCTTTAGATGGTTTGGAATGTCTTAATACTTCACACCCATCTGTTCACTTTGGACACAATTCCCATATCTTCCTTAGATATCAGTGCCTAGATGCCACAAAAATGGATGCTTTAGAAATAGATAGATAAATAACCAAGATCGACAGACAGATGGTAACTAAGGGTATGTCTACGCTACCAGCTGGATCTGCGGGCAGCGATAGTCTAGACGCGATAAATCGATTCCCCGAGTGCTCTCCCATAGACTTCTGTACTGCACCACCACGAGAGGCGCAGACAGAGTTGATGGGGGAGCAGCAGCAGTCAAGTCACTGTAGTGAGTAGGTCTAAGTACATCGACTTCAGCTACGTTACTCACGTAGCTGAAGTTGCGTAACTTAGATTGATACCGCCCCCCCCAATGTAGACCAGGGCTCTGTAAGCTAGATAGATAACCAAGTATATCTTTCAATCTATATCAATTCTAGATATGTAGGCACTTGTATCACCCACTCCCCTCTCTGGTCTACTCATGTCTAATGACTACATTTAAAGATCTAGTGTCAGTTCCCTTCAGTAGTTGCATTTGGTTGCTGCTCCAGCAAAATACACTGCTATTGGCCATCTGATCAGTTGTATGAGTAGAGGTTTGCTTCAGAAACTATGGTTGCTCTATGCAAAATGTGTATTATTGGAGGGAAATAGGTGTATGTGTTCTGAAAAATAGTCTACGTGCCATGGAAAAACAAATAAATACTGACCCCAATATCTATATTTTTGCTATTTACTCACCTACCTAGACGACTATTTCCCTCCCATATATATGTCCTTTTCATTATGTTATATGTAGGAAAGTCCTCAGGAATTTAATGTTTCTGTGGAACTGAGACTTCAAATGCATAGAATCTCAGAGAGTGCTATGCTTTCAAGAGGGGTTTTTAAATTGCAGGACAATCAGTCTATTAAATTCTATGGGTTGGTTTAAAAAAAAAAAAGCTTGCAGAAAGGACACCCTCTTAAATTCTAAGGGCTTTTCTGTAGGGGAGCAGTCTAGAAGACACTGTTAACTCCTTGGAACCAGTAAAATGGCATGCACATCAATAGTACCATATAAATGGTTAATAAGAGGGAATTATTTGCATTATTTTCTTTTAGAAGAGAACTGTACAGTTTGCCATCTGCTATTACACTAAAAAGAATTTGACCATCTTAGCAAGAAGATTGTAAGAATAGAACTTGATACCAGCACTGAAATAATGTGGCATCCAGGCAGGTTCAGCAGAATTGTTCTTGCCAAGATGTTTTCAAAAATTGTCATTTTAAAGGGTGGTTTTAAAAATAGGTAAGAGAGAGCTCACCTTGGTGACAGTAATGTAATAGTCCCAATTCTATGGTCCACCTGACTAGCTGACCAGCTGTGCGTGATCTAGTCCTGCCATAAATTGGAGCAGCAAACAGGCTGTTCTAACCCTCACCACCTGTCAGTGACCTTCCACATGGCCGTGTCAGCAGCCAAGGAATACATTGCCCACGTACCTCTTTCCACCTGGCCACTCCCCGTGCTGCTGGCTGGCAAATGGGGTGGCAAGGGAGTCCCTATGTGTAGCTTTTTGTACCAAAGAATCACTGGGCCGGTTGTCTCTATAGTGATGTAAATCTGTGTACACCTTGCACTTCAGTTGGATCATATAGGT